CCTTGCATCAAGGGACCGGAATCAACACGTCCGTGCGTGTTCGCTGCCATCTTGGAGCGGCAACGGTTCCCGCGCTTTTCTGCATAGGCAAGGATCGACACGTCTGTGCGTGTTCGCCGCCATCTTGGTGCGGTAACGTTTCGCGCGCTTTTTTCCCGCGCGATCGTCACGTGCTTCCCGCGCACAAGAAGACTTGTGCGGTACGTGATCTCGTGAGCAGTGCAAGCCGTGAACATTAATATCTTGCCAGTTAATACTTGAAAACTGACTTGGTGTTTGTATCACCACCTTTGACGAACAATGGATCGTGAACGTCTCGAAGGCCTCACATTACCACAGCTTCAAGCAGAGCTTTCCCAGTACCGTCTTCCGCGTCAAGGAACTCGTGCGAAATGTATTGAAGCTCTCATTGCACACTCCCAGAATCATGCGCCAACGGATTTAATTCCGGGCGATGGGAATGGCACGTCGAATGTCGATGGTACGGAAGGGCTGCAATCAACAAGTACTTCAGGAGGAATTCCAGGAAGCAGTTCGTCCCCTACGGTCAGCGCGTCAGTTGAGCAGACCTTGCTGAATCTGACGAGACAACTGCAGCAACAGCAGGAAGTATTGACGCATCTAGTCAATTTGAATATCCAAAATGCTCCGAGGATGGCTGCCGCTAACATGGTTGGTTCACATACCATTCCTCCGAGGGGAAGCGCTTCCAACTCTTCCGTCGCAACCCTCACCACACCTGTGCTGGCTACGATGCCGCCAGCGCAGGCCGTAACACATCTGGCCTCTCAGATCCCGTCGTTCCAAGGAACAGAAGACGACGACGTGGACGTGTGGATACGCAAGATCGATCGCACCGCCGTAATACATGGGGTCAACGATAGTATTAAACTGTTAGCCGCGACCAGCAAATTGCAAAAGCTGGCCAGAGACTGGTTCGACTTAGATACCGGTCCTATCACCGATTCGTGGTTGTCGTTCAAGGAAGCCGTCACCAAAAGATTTAAACGCCATGCTTCTTTTACACTGGTGATGCAAAAAGCGGAAGCTGTACGTTGGAATTATCCGAAGGAAAGTTT